ATAAATGTATTCTCAACTGTTACTCAATAAATAACATGGTTTGCAAGATATGCCAGTCACAGAAACTGAATAGGATTTACATTCAAGGTACCTTATTTTTCCATTGTTGTACCCTGAATGCAGTGTCTTATGTCCTCTTTAGGGGTGGCTGGCCATGGCAGGTTGCACTCCGACTGAAATCTTCTCATGGTGATGGAAGACTCTTGTGTGGTGCTACTCTCATCAGCAGCTGCTGGGTCCTCACTGCTGCACATTGCTTTAAAAGGTAGGTCTCTCTTCAATAGTGAAGTGTATCGTCAAAACTATTTTGTTGTTCTGGGTATAGGCAAAAACATTCCAGTTCAAGCCCACTGAAAACTGTTCCAAAGAGTTGCGTTGGCCTTTGGTTTAAAAAAATCCTACCAACCAACCTCCTTTTCCTCCAAATAAAAACAAACAAAACCCCCTAATATATTGAAATTATTCTGGGTGTCAACATTCATGAGATATATATTCACAACTTCAGCATTTCCATGAAAAAATATAGATGATGCTTCTGACATTTTAACACAGCTTTCTGTTCCAACAAAACTGCAGCTTATGGCTTTCAGGTTATAGTGAAGACAACTGAGCAAACACCAAACACAGGGACTGTAATATTTTGGATTATTTTTGGTAATGATAAATATTGGCAGCAATAGACATTCTTACTGTAACACAGCAGTGACGACGTGAACTAGTCCCCCCAAACCCATTTTAGGGTAAAGCACTATTATGTATTTTGCTGAGTCTAATAGGAAAGTAAATCTGTACACTGGATGCTAGTGAGACCGAGCTGTTTTGCTTATTCTTCACAAATAGGCTGGAGCAACTGCCTTACTCTGTTATCTCACATTAGATAAAGAATTGTCTTTTGCTGCCATCTAAGCAAAGGTCCCATCCCCTTTAACAAAGAAGTACTTGTCTAAGCGGTTATACTGGTATAATTCTCTGACACTGGCATCTAATAAAACTGTGCTAAATTCAGCTCCTTTCCATATGTTTAGCAACCGGCTTGCAACTTACACTCCCGTGTAAATCACATTTCATCTACTTGGTCTAACTTCTGCAATTCTCAGTATTAAGCTATTATCTAGCTTTTTTAAATGTCTTTTCCCATTTTTGCAGAAACAGATACTCTGTTACTGATAATTCTCCTATTCAGTTTTTATGATATCCCCTCTTCAGTAATTCACTGCTGATGAAGTTACAGTAGTATAAAAGCATCAACTTGCAGAGTAAGGAAGCTGGTCTAGAATTTTAAGCTTTCAGCAGCAATTATTTCATTGGAATCCTTACAAGAGGTTGCAGTATGGGCTTGAATAAAAGCATAGAAGAATGGCATTGCAGTTTTGAGGATATCTGCTAGAATTTTCTCAAGTGGGCTGCAAATGTTTTAACTTTGGACTTTGAGCCTTTCCTTTTGCACACTAATAACTAGAAAGAAGAGTCAGATAAACTTCTACTCAAATGGAAAGTACCTTTGCTACTTCAACTGATGTCCCAGTTGTTTCTGTGGAACAATGAAAGCACTTCAGTTGCTTTCATCAAAATTCATAGACAATGGCTTCCTGTCCCCCTGTTCATCATCTCTATAGTGATTACTAAGGATGCAACTTAAGCTTTTGAGAAAGCTTTTGACTAAAGGCTTGAAAACAAGGCAGTCCTTTCTGTTATTTTACCTCAAAGATCCTCTTCAAGGAAAGAAAAAGGGAGGTCACAGGTAACCAGTTATGTTTTCTGTGTGCAAATCAAGATCTTAGTTACCCAATCCTTCACCTTATTCGAATGATTTCAAACAGTTTGGTGAAACAAGTTAGTATTTGCTGTGCTGCACTGCTGCAGTTGCAGTGCATTCTTACAGTAAGCACTCCTCACAGAATACATTCCCTGTTCTTCCCAATGGCTTGCTTACGTAGCTGGGGCTCCAAGTCATTACTGAATGTGCTGCCAAAGCGTGCCCATTTTGGATACTTTGCTTAACACCCGCATGATGGAGCAGCAGCGTGGCTGGAGCAACATTCGCTGTGATACTTTCAGATCGGTGCAGCCAATTGAGAGTCTGCTAGAGGCTATCCTAAAACTGTTCATGCGGTCTCAGGGACCAAAGTATTGCTTTGCCCCAGACGTTGCATTTAAAACTGTGCAACCTAGATCTCAGCGTGCATCTCCAACAGCCTGTGGATGCACTACTGTTTACTGTAAAAGAGAGAATGCACCTTTAGCTCCAAGCTGACATTGGACAGACTGGGCTGAACGTCCTAATGATCTCAGAGTGATTTTAAGGGGCTAGGTTTCCAAGAGCTATCTATAGATCAAGCGCCTTCTTCACATATTTTCCACAGACAGACAAGGGAAAGGCCAGTATACCATTTCTCATATCCTGGAAATTGGAACACTGCTTAAATAACAAAAGTGGTCTCATCTGTACTATGGATAAAAATTAAATACAATTTTATGCATGATGACAGGAATTGTTTGCCAGTAGTATAGCAGCATTACTGGTTTCTGTAATTTTATAGACACGTAATTTAAGATCAAAAATTGTTTGATGCTATTTTTCCTTTTATAATCCACCCATCTTGTTAGCAAGTTTTGTCCTGAGTGGTTCTGACAGCTATAGGGAATTTGCAGGTCTATACATAAAAAAATATTAACTTTGGATAACTAGAAATACGAGGCATAGAACAAAAAGGAAATTATAATGACCATGATGTTATTTTAGGAAATACTGTGTTACTTGAGCATTGTACTGTTCTAATACTGTAACTCTTATTTAAGTGCTTCCTTAGGCACTTCTGAATGCCCATGTACACTTCAACATGGTCCTGGTAATTTTGTTTTGAGAACTAGGGACCCTGAGGCACAGTGGAACCAAATACCTAGTAAGACACCAGAAACCAACGCAGACACCAGAACTAAAATTCAGTTTTCTCCAATTTAGCATGAATGGTGAGATGAATTCAGGTGTGCCTTCAATGTCAGTACATTACTTGACTAGCAGCAGGATGATATTAGCATGGTGGCTGATTACTAATCCATCCTCCAGTTGGCTGGGAAATAAACCTTCTCGGAGGTGCTGAGGTCAACATTGCCAGGCCACACTAGAGCTTAAAGGCACGCCCAGATGAGTCATCCAACAGATGGGTAATACCCTGAAAGCAACATCATTTTCCACCCATGAAGCACTCCCAGACTCCTCCTCTGCCTCCACTCTTCAAACGTGATGTGTGTGTGTGTGTGTGTGGTGGTTCTCTGCCATTTCATAGGTGACTTTTAGGAGAAGACGACTGGACACCCCTGAGCTAGACTACTTTGCCTTTTTTATGTACTGATGCCCTATTACAATATTTCCACACTTGGCAAATACCAGCTACTACAGGGGAAAAAATATTATTGTCTACAGATGAAAAAATCAGTTTAAGAAAGCCTTATGTGTGTGTGTGCCCAGAAATATGGTAATCTGTGCAAAGACTGCTCATTAAGCTTCTCCCTAGAAGCCTTGTAGCTATTAAAGTTTCATACATTTGCATGAGAAGCAGGACTTCTCATTCTATGAAATGTTTAAAATCAGTACTTTTAATTAAGATAAGCTTTCCTGGATCTCCTCTCTTCATTTTTCTGCTATAAATGACCATCATCCATAACACAGAAAAACAGCAGGAACTTATTAAATGGAACACTGTCCCTTTTGTCAAAATCAAGGATGTAACATTAAACAGAAGCAGCAAGTTTTCTACTGTACTATCTGATAGATGGCTGACAGGAGAGCACTCGTTATCACTAGTCATAAACAACTTTCCCTCATGCTTAGGCTTACGAATCAAAATAAACAATTAAAAATCAAGTTCTTTTGATTATTAAATCAGTTTAGGAAGAAAGTGTGTAATTCTCACCTGAATTACAAACAGCTAGTACATTTGTGACTCTGTAGTACTCCGAGTTCCATGTGGTTTAAAAAAAAAATATGAAAAACACACACAACCCCTTCCCCCCTTCAAATTGCATTAAAGATAATGGGTAGAGTATATGGTAAATCCTGTAATTAATGTTTTGGATAAGTCCTATAAACTAAAATGCAGAGGCACCCATTACGTTAAAAAAATGAATAAGAAAGATTTATACCATGTAAAATTACCTGTCTCTACTTGAGAGCCAGATTTCCATTGCACCGCTGATAATACACATTTGCGAAGTACTATGATTGTGTTTGTTTATATATACACAAAACCTATATGTCAGTGTATACAATGGTTAACTTAAATGGGCAAATGGAAGGTAAAAAAGCTTTCATAATCCACTAATAGGTGATCTGCTGCACAGAACCAAAAATGTATCTATAAATTATGAGAGAGTATTTTCAGTGACCTTTTGGAAATGTTTTTGGCAGATGATGCCAGGCAAATACGTATTTAATGCTAATGACCTGGTACATTTGTATTCCAATATGACACTCAGACGTGTACCAAAAATTGTTAAAATATTACTTTTGAACATTCAAAGATCGTACCTAGCAATACATTCTAGGGTACAGAATCCTATTTATGATAGCTTTTAAAGGCAATGAGAATAACAGTTATAAACAATCTCTGTAGCAAAAATTATTGAACTATTTAATATTGGTTAACTGGCAAAGCGAACAGCATAATTGTACTTATTGGGCTCAGATGCTGTATCATTTAGATTCTTAAGTGGAATGTCATCAATCAGTTATGAAATTTGAGAAGAAAAATATATCTGAGATGTCACTAACAAAAACAACTCTTCCATTTACTTTAGTGGGGGTTTTGCATGTAAGTTAGAATAAATCAAATGAAAATAATAAAGCCGTTTTACTGCAATAGTCACTAAAGTACTTTCTGTATCAGCTTCTGTTTCTAATTTACCCCGAGGAAAATAGATCCTACGGAGTCGGCTAATGCATCAGCCAAGATTGTTTGTAATCTCGGCCTGGGCAAGACATCGGAGAAGTACTCCGTTGGCTGTATAACCCATCCCAATGTTATTACCCTCTTTATGTTCTGAGCATTACATCTGTTCTCTAAATAGATTCTGTGAAAGTGAGAGACCGTCTGATACTGCACACCCTGACCATTCAGCTACCTGCCTCTACACTGACCTTGTCCACTTTGTAGGGGGCCACAGGAGTTGCGCTATCAGCGTGTAAAACATTTTATAGTTCGGTGTTTTATTCCTCTGTTTTACGAGTTTCACAGAGGACCAACGCATTGATTAGCTTACACAATAAAATGAACTACCAGGGTCTGTCAGTTTGGTTTTCATAGTGTACTCAAACTGCTTTATATACCATAGTAGCATGCTTTCTGTCAAACAATCAACATTATGGGTACTTCCATGAAAAAGATGGCCAAAGTATCAATACACTTGCCCTTGATTTGGCAGTTTCTCTTGCTGCAACCAATTCAGAAATCTTTAAGCTGTAGTTCCAGGAAATACACTACCTATGAGGTTATATAGCCTCCATATGAAAAGACAAGTGACCATTTAATATATGTAAGTACTGAACCGCAGACGCAACTTTCTGCCCAACACAAGATTAAACTAAGGAATTAGATTAATTTCCCTCCTAATATCTTCTGTAACTAGAGGAATAAAAAACTTCCCCCCCCTAATTTGTATAAAAATCTGTTTCTAACTTTGAATGCAATGGTTTTGCCAAAGCATTACTGGAAATTTTTGCACATGGGCCAGAAAAATTTACTTTCAAGTCTGTCTATATGTAAATGTGCTAAATTAAACTCTGAATTATAGTTTATAAAAATTCCCAGAAGCAATAGCAAGCAAATGTATAAAACCTGTTCAGTACAAACTGGCACTGAAATGCACCAAGCATTTTATTGTAAAGATGCACAACTTGCTAATAAAAAAAGTCACTTTCACAGAAATAATACTAGAAGAAAGTTATGTTAGGTAATGCCTGTACTATATAGTATTTTAGTGTACTGAAGATGCCTATAGCCTTAATCCTTGCTATATTAAGGAAAGCCAAATAGACGGCAGAAGAAAAAAAACAAAAAGAAACTCACCCAAGGTCGGAGATCAGATCACAGCACTGCTGTAAAAACCCCCAGTTTTCTAGCCAGTGCCAGATGATACTTTTACTGGCTCCCACATCATAGCTCAGAGTAACAATAATAGAAGTTTAGACTGATCATAGTATAGTAAGCGTCTTGGCAAAGTATGGTAAGATTAGCCTTTTCTGATGCAAGATGTGTGGCAACTGTGACCTAGGAGGGGATTCATCACTGTCAGAGCAGAAACTCCTGTCAGGCAGCAGATGCCAAGGATTTGACGGGCAATCCATAGGGATGCAGAATTTAGGATTTCATTGATGTCATACTTCAGATGGCCAAATACAGATGGACATATATAACTCCAGAAACTAGTTAAGACCTAACAGCCTTTCTTACTCTGAAGTATCTCCTTAAGGGCAACAAAAATAAAAGGGCAAACAAAAATAAAAATATAAAAATATCAGGTGCCAATCCTATTTCCATGGAATTTTTTCATTTATTTTATCAGGAAAAGAACCAACTTTGAAGTCTCATGAGCTTTTAAAACTGGGAAAACCACACAAGATGATCTAGAAATGAGAACGTAAGATCTAGTGGAAGAGAGATTCAAATATTTTTTGAAAAAGCTTACAAAGAAATACCTCTATTCTAGAAACTTCAAGGGACTGGAGTCAGAATGCCCGGAGAGCCAGGATTCATACTTCTGCCTTTTCTCATGTTCTTTTCCTATTCATGCTCTCACTTCTTAATAGAAAATTCCTAATGAAAATTGATTCAGTGATAAGTTATAAAATACTAGCACTTTTGTGGTCAAAACAGAAAGATTAGTAATGTGACACAAATAGTTTTGATCTTAAATATCTATAAATAAAATAAAAATATTAAATAAACATACTGACCCATGAATTAAAAAAGCTCTTGAGCTATTTTTTTCAGGGAGGAAATAAGTAATGTATTTGGTAGAATACACAGTTTTTATCAGTTCTCCCTCTAAGACTAAAATCAGTATGAATACTTTTTTAAACACCTCTGTAAACTTTAAAAAGCCTGCATCAGTTCCATCTCTTCACTTCCAGCTGCTATAGGATTTTGATTTCCAACAAGGAAAATACAGTGTCTGGAGAGTATTTCACACAGACTACGACTATGGAGGACCTGGAAAAAGTTTTGTGGTAGACAAGTTACTTCATTTTTCCTATACAGAAGGTCATCTTCAGGTGAACAGATGTTTGGTCATAGCCTGCAACTCTCTCTCCTTACAAGCCTAGAAGTGAAATTTTGCTCACCTGAAGGAGATGTGCAGGAATTTGACAAAGAAAGCTTTGCAGGCAACCAGGGATGCAACCCGCAATTAGAAGGAATATTCAGTAGTACAGCTATATATTATTGTTCAGAAGAAACATCTGCTGCTCCTCAAGCAAGCTTTAGTAAGCTATGGAGATCAGCACATTGCTGGAGGGTATAAAAAGAACGGGTATAGGTTAGAAGGTGATGGAACACTGTAGGGTACTTTCTGCACACGTATTACAAATTTCCTGTTGGAGGCTGTGAGGGAAAGGGAGAAGTCAAAAGAAAAATATTTGGGTTAGCTTAGCCAGATTTTAAAATAAATAAATGTACCCAACAGTACTCCCTTATTTGCATTTTCCTGAGAAGGGCTGTGTATCCTGTAATCCAAAAACCCCCAAGGCATGCACAGAAAATTGTTATTTCAGCCACAATAATCATCTCTAAGGTATTTACCATTTAGTCTACGATGTGAAAGAAATAGGGGTCATGTTAGATGCAAAACAAGTAAGATTTACAGGCCTCCTGCCAATTTGACAATAGGTGCTTGTGATGCACATATGCTTTGTTTTCCTTATTATAACTTCAGTTAACATACGAGGTTTTTATCAAGTTATCTAAGCCTCTAGAATTTCTCAACCAACCTACAAAGCAAGCTTGAACACTGTTTTCATTTCAGTAATTATTTGGAGCATCACAATGATGTTAGTACTCAGGTTTTCATTATAATTACTGGCAGTTTGCGTTACCCTTACTAAATACATTTATAATGCACACCTTGCTTGCACCTTTCAATAAGTGCCAGTCACGGCAGATGGCCATAAGAAACCTTGCCTGTGAAAATATACAAAAAGGAACATAGCCCAACCTGAAACTTCAGGAAAAGTTTATGCATTTTTGCTCTTTAAAAAACCGTTTTGGTATTGTTATTTATATAAGCAATAAAGACCTGATCAAATCTGTTTGCATGCTTAGGATCTGACTTTGCATGAGCCACCCTATTTGTTTTCACCTCAATCTTAGGTATGGCAACAACACTCGGAACTATGCTGTGCGAGTTGGAGACTATCACACCCTGGTACCAGAAGAGTACGAGGAAGAAATTGGAGTCCAACAGATTGTGATGCATAAAGAGTACAGGCCTGACAGCAGCGACTACGACATCGCGTTGGTGAGGCTACAGGGGCCAGAGGAACAGTGTGCCAGGTTCAGTACCCACGTATTACCTGCTTGTTTGCCATTAAGGAGAGAGAGACCACAGAAAACTGCTCCCAACTGTTATATCACTGGATGGGGTGACACAGGTAAAAATGTTTTAATGATTTCTACCCACCAATCTTGTTAACTGAGGCTGCTTATTTAAAGAAAAAAAAAAATCTCAAATACTTAAAATAAGAAAATGCTCAAAATGGAACAACTTTACTCTTTCTGTAGGGGAATATTTTCTCTCCTGATCCTTAACCAGGAATGACAACACTTTGTTTACTGAATGTAGTTTGTGTTTAAAAAGTGGCGATTAACCGTGTCACTCTAAATCACAGAACCAGTCAGTAAAATGGCCTCATTAAGACCGACAAGCATGAATGAAAAGTTTATTTGTTGCCAGGCACACCCCGTGCAGCAGCTTATCACCCCTTGCCTCAGAATGTAACTAACAGCTCTAATATATTTAAGGTTTTTAAGGTAAGTACAATGAATATTTTAGAAAGGTTCTTTAAATTACACTACTTCGATAGAAAAATGGATAGAAAATAAACACATAATAGAATTTCAAACAACATTTTTAGTCTCTCTTGTTACCACTGACATTTTCAATCAGCACTTAGATTTAAATAAGGGAACATCGTGCCAAAATTTATGAGAGCCACAATGCAATCTGCAATCCAGGCTGCTGGAACAAACTATCTAGTCACTTTTTAGGTCAGTACAAGATTCTTCCTCTTCAAAAGTCTTTGTCCTTTAAATGTTTTACAAATTAATAACCATGTTTTACTTTCATGTTTTTATGGTGTTGAATACAGTGCAAGACAACAACCACACTTGAGCCTTTGTTCCACTGACTCATTCAAACTGGCAAGGAGACAAGGCAGCAAGGCCAAATATCAGTTCTTCCTCTTTACATGCATTAATCTGGGTGCACAGATGTCTGGGTCACTGTACTACAATAACGGGGATAGACTTGTAGGGTGGTTTTTTTCGCTAAAAACAATTGTTAATTCATTGCCTAGCTCTGTCTTAACTTTTTACACAATTTACTGAAAGTTCTGCAATACTGTTTACTTAGGACATCTATTTAAGGCAACATTAACCACTGCAATAATTGGCTTTAATTATGATAAGAATTTACATCATCAGAGTACTTTAGTTGAAATTTCAGACTTACTATATGGATCATAATTACAGGTATTAAGATTTTACTTAAAAAAAAACCCCAAAACTGGCTTTAATTTCCCATGTTTCCAACTGAAAAAAGAGGTGCAAGTTATAGAAAAAAGCCAAATGATTTAAATCTTGACAATTTATAAGCAGAGCACTGCTTATACAACGCAGGACTCACTACAGATAAAGAAAATCAAAGGACAGGTTCTGGTCACCCCCACAAAATGAAGATTCCTTTTGGTCTGATTAGTACTCTAAAAGTTACCAGGATTGTAAACAATTCAAATGATACTGCCGTTCTCTACCAGAATACGCTTGGGCTGAGTAACATTAGCTCCTCAGTTGAGGCGACAAGCGAGCTTGAGTGCACTTACAGGGCATAAGCGTGATGGTTGGCTGGATGCTCTACTTGGAAGCCGACAGAGGATGCAGCACCTGTCAGGCTGAGCTAGACTAGATTTGAACTGGTGACCTAGAAATGAAGTATTTCTATAGCTTTAGTCTCCACTGCTCAAGACTCCCAAAAATAGCTTCCCCATTTAAGTATTAAGGCATATATTCTTATAGAAGACACAAAGCGTGTTTGGAACAAAACCAACTCCAGCCTTGGAAAGATCCAGTGAACGCAAGGAGTAAAGCTACATCTTAAATTTTACCTTTTTTTTTTTAAAAAAAAAAAAAGCATCTATATTCCATATTTACAGTATCTATATAGTATTTTAGTATTATATTTAATGCACAGTAGATTTTTTCAGTATTTAGTCTTGTTTTCAGTCATTTTATTTAATGACAAAACAGTGTGAAGGACTGACAGCAAAAATTGGATTAAGTCACATTTATGTTTCCAAGACCAAGCATGATAATTAGACAATAATTTGGGTCCTCTTTTCAGGAAGGGCTTATTCAAGAACATTACAACAGGCTGCTATCCCCTTACTTCCCAAGAAGGTATGTGAAGAGCGCTACAAAAGGAGATTCACAGGGAGAATGCTTTGTGCTGGAAACGTCCAGGAACAGAAACGTGTTGATAGCTGTCAAGGAGACAGTGGTGGACCACTGATGTGTGAACGTCCAGGGGAAAGCTGGGTTGTGTATGGTGTGACCTCCTGGGGCTATGGCTGTGGAGTGAAAGATTCTCCAGGTGTCTACACGAAAGTATCATCTTTTGTACCCTGGATAAAAAATGTGACCAAACTATGAATGTCTGTAATGAAAACCAAACTTCATTAATAAAGTTTGAGGCAGGACAACTTGAACAGCACAGACAGTGCACAGCTGGGGCCCACAGTGGGTGGAAACAGACACATTTTCCTGATTCACGTGTTTTTCTTTTTGTTAAATCCAAGCTGTATAAATGCAACCTTTCCAGTTAGGGATTACTACTAAAAAAAAAAAAAAAAAATCCCTCTGTGTTAAGGAAGTTTATATATTGCAAGAACAAGTTACCATGTATCTAAGAGAAGGGGAAAAGTGATAGCCAGCTTAGAGTAACATTGGAGCAGGACAGCTGGAGAGTTCACCACAAGATTCACTGCCCACAGGAAGACTGTAGTAGCTCCAAGCTATTTATCCTCCAAGCCTCTCGAGAATTAATTACAGATCTCAAAATTAATCTTCAGTCTAGTTTATTTAATCAGTTCTTGACTGTTTTCCTATTATTCCTATTATCTTACACTCAGCCCTCTAATTTTGACTCATGTTCCATTAGCTAATGAGACCATTAGCAGGTTGATTCTTGGTAAGTAATTCTGAGTACGTATTAAACGTTAGAAGGAAAGTAACTGTCAATAATCAGATCCCCAGCTATTCTGATAAATACACAGCTTAGTGTGCATAAAGTACATCCCCAAGTAAAATAGGTAGTACACTGGAAGTTAGTTTCCTTGCCAACATCCCGCACAGCTGCAAGAGCTAGATCAAAACCAAATGACTTCTTACTTTCTTTCCTTTAGAGAAGTGTCACTTGTCTTCTTTCTGAAATTCATAATTTTTAGTACATACAGCATTTCAGTGAGAATTTACTTTTCCTATTTACCACTAGCTGTCAGTACAGTATCAGACAAACATCCCAATTCTCTCATTGCTGGTTTTGGAGGGGCTTTACTCAAGTAACACTAAGAACCTCTGTCAATCCTACAAGAGAAAGTTGTAAGTACATGCAATGCAAATACTGGAGGTGTTGAGCCAAAACCTGTCTGAAAAGGTCTATAAAGTCTTAAACTACTATTTTCTACAAGATAATATTTAGACAACTCTCTCCTGCTTAGCTGCAACACTGGTTCAGACTGATCTTACAGGAAAAGGTGAGAGTTAGATAAGTTTTCAGTGACTCCTAAAGTATTAACATATTTTGATTCCGTTTAATTCCTTTTACAGATACCGTTCCCCATGCTATGAAAACCTTAACGGGTTATTATAAAAATGCACTGATAAAAAGTTACTGTTGATGTACAAGACAAATATAAAACAACCTACTATCGTTTTAGAAAGGGCCACCCCATTGAACTTGCCACACAGAAGTAATCACCACCTTAGTGCAACACTAATGGGTATCAGTCTTGAAAACATCTGAGACTAACTACAGTCAAGAGTGAGACAGGAAAGTTCAGTGCTACCTCTACGATACCCGTCAAAGGCCATTCTGACTATCTGCAAGCGTGCTCTACGTATTACATTAACAAACATGCTTCTTAAAAAGATGAAATGAAAGCTCTGTGGGCCATGAAACACTCCAGTGTGACAAGTGTGGCAAATGTGTGTCACCACATAGTGATTGTGCAAACAGTGACTGTTTTCCTGTGCTTCCTATCCCCAAACACCCCGGCTACGACAGTGTTGTGCGGCCTTTTGTGCACAAAGTGGGATGCTTGCATTCATGCTGTAAGTGGGCAGTCGTTCATTTCTGTATGGTTCTATGTCTCTCTGGTGGTGTAACAAATATCCAAGACAACTCAATTTGCATACAAAAGTGGTGATGATATTGCAGAAGCCCATGTGATTGACAACTTGGCCCTTAATTTCTCTACAACCTCAAACTTAGTTTTCAAGGGTCATGACTAGTTTAAATGTCTTGTTAGAACTGGTGCTGAATGAGTACACAAGGTGCTTTAATATATTTTACTTTTCTGTACTTCCATGCTATTTGTAATAGTGTGAAATTTTATTTAAAAACGTCAAAAAACATAGCACTGTGACCACCTACGGTTAGACCTATGTGAAACACTCTGCTAGTGAACTGTAAAACCATTTACGTTTTTAGTCATACATAGCCCTTTCAATTAAAGGAAAGGGGAAGTAAATCTGTCAAAATGTATCTACTTGTACCATCAAAGCTTTGCTATACAAAACCCATTACTTTGAGACTTGTGGTGAAGTAGGCTGTATAGTGCAATACTTGTGTTGTATACAGGGGAAATAATAGTTTTCTTTTACAAGTTGCACCACAGAAATGTGATACTGGGGGGGGGGGGATGAAGTCTGCATACTAAATGTAATAAACATTTAGACTTAGTACAATAGTTCATTAGTTTTGCTCTTTTAATAGGATGCTTTATTAGATTTTAAAATGTTGCACTACCATTTTCATGCAGAGAGCATGCCTTTCAGTTTCTAACATAAAATGAAACTATCTTTATGTTATGCCACTCTAATTTTTGTTCAATGAGCCTGATGACGTAAACGTATACAATAAAACCTGCCACACTGACTACAACTTTTATACATTAATTCTGTGGATAATGTACAAGCAGATGCTGCAGGAACATCAGCTGGGTAAACTTCAGGTGAGCTTTCTTAAGTGAAAAAGGGGGCTCTGGAAAATATTTTCTTCAAAGCATATAAAATTGTGCCATTTTCTCAGAGATGGAAGTTTGTTCTGTATGATGGAATTCCTAGTGCTTTGTGCGCTTTAACTTAGACCAGTTAGGTTGTCATAAATAAGTCTATCCTACACTCTTAAAACAGCTTAAGAATTTTTTTGACCCTTGCTGCTCTCCCCTTTGTTCAACATTTTAATACGTACCAGGTTGTAGAAAAACCTGCTCTTCAGCCTATGCTAACAGGTTTCTTTGTGTTAAGCAGGTTGGTCACTGCTAACGGTGGCATAAACTAAGAAAACACTTGGCACTTCTATTACCAAATTAGATGACCATCTTAAACACTGATGTGTAACCTATCCAGGTTCTCTCAACACTGAAGATTCATAGTTAGATGCAGTCCCCCTGAACTTCCCAAGTTTTTGTCCATTTTCCAGAGAATATACAGACAAAGAAAATAAACATAGAACAGAAGCACTACTGCAACTGACACACAAAGCCTATTTAACATGCATTTATCTCAACCCTGAACAACTTCCCAAAGTGAAGGGGCACTTATCTCTGTAAGCCACAGATAAACCAAGATCCAATTTTATGATCATTACATGCAGAATATTTATAACCTCAGCTGTCTTATTTCCAGAAAAATTCACAGCACTGTAATAGCTTATGTTTAACAAAAAGTCAGTCCTGAATCAATGTTCTCCATCATTTTCAATGTTACTGCAACTATTTCACACTTTCAAGTGCTAGAACATTTATATCCACGAGATTTTAATGCCGTTAAGATTTCAGAGTGGCAATCGCAGAACATAACATACAGGAAGACTAAAACAATTAGGCTCAAGTAGCAGATCCCAGCAGAAGTAGCCACCCAGAGAACAAGAAATTTGTGGTATCAGGAAAAGAAAACCAGCTTTTGTTTGTGCTCTAAGCTGCTGGGTAACAGCAAATGCAGTTAACTGAGGTAGTAGAGACCAGCCCTACCTCATACACATTAGATACCTGCTCACATGCAGTAGTTCCTATTCCATTTATTTAGTGTGGAACACAGAAACTGACCATGTAACTTCCTGCAAATGCAACACCAAGCAACCACAAACAGGGAAAAGATGACTTAAGAGTTTGGAAAGAAGTATTTAACTTTGTAGCAATGTAAAGAAAACAAAACAAAAGACTGGGTTGGATGAAAGTTGGAGAGGTGTGAGAGACTGGATGTTACTGCAGACGGAACAGGGTGCAGGAAAATACGGAGCCTCTATAAAGTTAAGAGCTAAGATGCAACAGGAATAGATTGGAAAGATATGAAAACAGTTGTTTGGGAATTGGGAATTAAATTTCAAGAGAAATAATGAAAAACAAGCCATTCTAAGCCACATGGAAATGAAAAAGCCACATCTTGTAAGAATACCTCTATTGTACTCAAGTAATGAGGGAAAGCAGATGTCACTACCCTCTGTACATGTGACTGGATGCTTACGGAAAGCTTCAGTCATAGGAAAGGCTACGTAACCTCATTAAGCACTCAAAACTAGTAAGAGATACCCACAGCAAACATTATAGTTCATACTTTTGTATTTGACCATAATCTTGAAAATTAGTTTTTCCTTCTCTTGATTCAAACCCACTATTTTATCTTTGCAAGTTCTAAATACTTGATGAAGAGCTCAAAATTGAATGTTCACAAATCTAACCTGCAGTCCAGATCAAGCCCTCAGGCCACTTTATTCAACTGTGACCTGCTTGCCACCACCTGTTCCCAAGATCCTAAAAGCTACTCCCCTACAGATCATGGGACTCATGACCACTCAGGTGGAAATACCAGTGACCTCATCACTTGGCTCATACAATGGACTAGAAAGACAGCTACATGGTCCTCCTCTAAGTTACAGACCGTTTCACACAAAAGAATCCTCCATTATAGGAGGCAGAGACAGGGCAGGCAGTTTTCAAAAGGCGACTTGTAAAAAAAAAATTCCGTTATTATGCACTGAAATTGTTAAAATAGATTAAAAAGGCAGCTGCTGTCAAACAAAAGCAAAGGCTAAAATTCAAGTGAACTAGGGTAACACATCAGACGATCACATCAGTGATATGCCACGCAGTAGCTAAAACCCAACACCAGAAAACCTAAACTTTTCAGTGTCATTTCAGCGACCACAGAAGAAAAACGCTTCTCTCCAGACCCGGACGTCACATTCTTGAGTTTTGTACTCCGCATTGTTTTAATGCATTCCAGATCCCTGGAGAAACAGATCCCCAACCCTACTCCTGCTTCTTCCTATTCATTTGCCATTTCAAGTTTTCTTCATGGGATCAACACCAGTCACAAAAAAAATTTGATCTAAAAAACTAAGGAAGCTGCTCTGCATCAGGGTGCTCGCC